GGGTACGCAGATCACCTACCTCACGGTCGTGGTTTTCTCGGACGAGACGGAAGTTCGATGTCGGGCAAAACCATAATGGGTTCTTCGGAGACAATGGTCCGAAGGCGGTCGAAAGCTGCTTGGCATTGCTCTGTCCATTGCCACTTCCTGTCCTTCTTCAACATGTCCGAGAGAGGGGCTGCTATCGAGGAGTACCCGAGGATAAATCTTCGGTAGTAGTTGACCAATCCAAGGAAGGATCGCAACTGTGGGAGAGTCCTCGGTACAGCCCACTCTCGGATTGCTTGGATCTTCTTTGGGTCCATCAAGAGCTGTCCATCCTTGACATAATGGCCGAGAAACTCCACTTCTCTTTGGGCAAAGCTACACTTCTCAAGCTTGATGTATAGCTCATTGTCTCGGAGAACACTCAAGACAGTCCGCAAATGACCTACATGCTCACTTAGGTTCCGGCTATACACAACAATATCGTCTAGGTATACCACAACAAACTTGTCAAGATATTCATGGAATAGTTGGTTCATCATGGTACAGAATGTAGCTGGAGCGTTAGTGAGGCCAAAGGGCATTACCTTGAATTCGAAGGAACCATACCTTGTTGTGCACGCGGTCTTTGGTTCATCTCCTTCGGCGATGCGCACTTGATAATATCCCGACCTCAAGTCGAGTTTGGAGAACACTCGTGCATCCTTGAGCTGATCAAACAGGTCGGCTATTAGTGGAATAGGATACTTATTCTTGATTGTTACCTTGTTCAAAGCTCGGTAGTCAATGCACATCCTTAGGGATCCGTCCTTCTTCTTTTGGAAGAGCACGGGAGCGCCATAGGGGGCCTTAGAAGGCTGGATGTAGCCGGCCTCTAGGAGATCTTCTAGCTGCCTCTTGAGCTCAGCTAGCTCGGGAGGAGCCATTCGGTAAGGAGGCATGGCTGGTGGTTTAGCTCCGGGGATCAGCTCTATGGCGTGATCAATGCCACGTCTCGGAGGGAGTTTCTTGGGAAGCTCCTCGGGCATGACATCTGCAAAATCATTTAACACTTGCCTTACCTCGGCCGGGATCGTTGGTTGATCCGGCATATCCGTCTCTTCTCCTTGGTTGAGGTTCCGGACAGTGGCCAAGAAAGACTCGGAGTTTTTGACTCCTCTCTTGAATTGCATGGCCGTGAGGGTTGAGGATGCGGTCGGAGCAGCTTTGAGAGGAACGATGGTGGGTTTGTCCTTGTCGATGATCACCAATGTCGTTGTGGATGCGGGAATGAACGTGCTAACGGATCGGAAGAACGTAAGTCCTAACACAACCCGAAAGTCGTCCATTGGGAGGATGGTGAAGTCGGTCTTCCCAACCCAATCCCCAATCTGAATCCGGACATCGCGGGCGATGCCGGACGCGTTTTGGGCAGGTGAGTTGACAGCCTTCACCGTTCCTCCACTCCCGTCCACTCGGAGTTTCAACCTCTTAGCTTCTCCTGCATCCATAAAATTATGTGAGGCACCGGTATCAAACATGACAGGAACAATCTTACCGTATATCTCTACGTCGGCGTAGAGGAGTCCCTTGGACTTGGTCTCGATGTTCTTGTCATCCTCGGGAATGGTTGGCTTGGACAGCGTCCCGAAGCGGTGTAAGGACCCAACAATGGCTTGGTCCTTGTCCTCGGTGACCTTGTTCTTGCCCTTGTTTGGCTGATCGGTCACGGCGTTGAGTTTCTTTTGCTTTGGACAGTCGCGGACCCAATGGGGTCCTTGGCAAAGGAAGCACGGACTCGGGGGAGGTTTGGACTTCTTGTTCTGTCCACTGTAGCCTCCTTGGCCCGGCTTGTCCGAACGTGGCGGTCCTTGGTGAGGATGATTGTGCCGGGGCTTGTTGCCGTCCCTTGACTTGTGAGGGTTGTTCGGACGAGCCACGCTGTAGTCCGTGAGTCCCTCTACAACAGAAATAGCTGCATTCAAAGTGTTAGCTTCTCTCCTATTCACTTCTAGGCGGGCAAAGTCTTTTAACCCGTCCTTGAAGTGAAAGAGAGCGTCTTGGTCACTCACATCACCTAATTCAAGCAAAAGAGAAGAGAATTCTCGGACATAGTCCGAGATACTTCCTGATTGTCGGAGTCTACGGAAGCGTGTCCGTATCTCGTCCCGTGCATTGGACGGCACGAACTGTTGACGCAAGGCTGCCTTGAATTGGTCCCAAGTGGTGACCCGGCGTTCTTGGTCAAGCAACGTTCTTCTCCACCACAATTGCGCGAGATCTTGGAGGTAGTTCCCGGCGCCCTTGACCTTAGCTAGCTCTCCCGTAACACCTGCACCCTCAAAATATTGTTCCATACTAAAGAGAAAGGACTCTACCGTAGAGGAGTTCCTCGCTCCATTGTAGGGTTTTGGCTCGGGTCCTCGGATGACTTGCTCTCTTGGGGCGTGGTCTCGGTCATGGACAGGGGCTTGCTGCACCATCTCACGAAGAGACCTGCATTCACGGGTTAGATTATGGACTAGGGTACGCAGATCACCTACCTCGCGGTCGTGGTTCTCACGAACAAGACGAAAGTTTTCGTCGGTCATGTCTCTATCGGCTCGGGCTTGCTGCTCCAAGTTGTCTAGGACATGTTTGGTCGATTCGCTCACAGCGGAGATCTCCTGTTCCAGACCGTCCGTGCGTGCGTCTTGCTCAACCTCGGACTCCTCGAGAGCCCGCAGACGTGCTTCTACGGACCCGGCTTGAGCCTCGGTTGCGCGTGTTCTAGCTCGTGTCGTGGGACCGAGGTCTGTGCCTCGTCCACGCCCATTGTCAGCCTCGGATGTGTGTCCCAAGGGCTGGTTGTTGGCTCCATCTTGGCTCGACATGGTGTCGAATCTCCTGTCTTCTCTCGGTTCTCGGAAGAGTGT